AAATGTAAAATCAGTTACTATTTTACAGCTATTATAGATGATATTTCTTCTAAAATAATGAGTCAGTTAAATTATTGAGACTTTTTGGCTATCATTTTGCCATAGAATACATTATTTCTAACTTTCGAGTTTTCATCTTTTACTGTATATAACTGAAATTAAATACACTTCCCTGATTTGTATGCTATTCTTTCAGATACTCAGATGTCCACCTTTAAATTGCTTTTATCTGCTATCTCCCTGTAAGTATTAATTCTATTCAGAAGAGCTCCAAAGCTGAATTGCACAAGAAGACGTGAGAAATAATGACTTTGCAACTCAGAACACTTAAATTTACCCAAGTTCAGCTAATCTAACGCTAATTTAAAAGGCTGTGTTTAAGAGTATGTGTTGTTTTGAAACTCATTCTACTAGCAATAGTTTTAAAATGAATCTGTTAACACTTATGCAACTTGTTCTTTTTGGGTTAAAGGTCAATAATTTCAGTTATGTGACTGCAAAGTTAAAATAGTAGTGGAACTAGTGTTAACATTTTAATCTGGAAAGGAAGCTCCTTACAATTTTAAAAACAGAAAATTAAAACAACAGAATGTACAACTGTTCTTACCCAAGATTATCAGGGTCAAAAACACGGTTCAGATCACAGTCAATATATCTAGTACACTTCTTCACGGCTCTTGGGTTGGTAAGAAATGGTTTCACTTCCATTCCTGTCCTTTGAATCTCAGCTCCATTCTCTTGCCAGTGCTTGACCAAAAATACCCCTGATAACTCATTGCCATGAGTTCCCCCGAAGATAGCAACCCGTCTTACCGGACGTTTATCAACAACAGAAGAGGAAGTCATGCTTTTCAGCAGCTCTAAGAATTGCTGAAAGCAAAACAGAAAATAATGATAAAGTAAAACTTTTGTCTCCGGAAAAAAAAAAATATTATTTTTACTCTTTTTAATGGGAAATTCTTTAAGGCTGTTTAGGTCAGATGTGAATGAAAGTGAATTAATGTTTCTCTCTCAGTTTTAGACTCCCGATGGGAGGCGGGGAGTTGCTAACCGGATACTCCTCCCTCCCGAGGAGCCCTCCCCTTCATTTACCATGTTTAGTAATATCTCAAAGTCTGTTAATGGTATTGTTACACAGTTCAAAAGTTAACTTCTCCAGGCAATGTCTAGTAATATATGATACATAAGTAAATCTTGTACTAATGGCAGTATGAAAAAGACTTTTTTAATGTAAACTTTAAGAATGCAATTAAATATCTCTGACATTTTTGCATTGCAAACTAAGTGTAACAAGTATATTCATGTATGTTTTAAGTTACATGAACATTAGAGAATACAAGGGCATTTAAATGATTTAAAGTCAGCAAAACCAGTAAAATATGAATCATATCTTGGCTCTGGATCAACATATAATGCTGAAACATCAAGTACTTTCATCTAAAAAAAACCAAGAACAGCTGAGTTCCTCAAAGCATGTTGTTGCTTGTATGACCTTTTTTGTTTTATATCTGAAGAACAGTGATTAGAAGGAACACCAGCTGAAATTAAAGTGCAATTTATCCACGACTGACTGACTTAGTATTCCTGGCTCTAGTTCTATCTGGGGTTCTGCTAACACAGATCTCTAAAACATTGAAACAACTTTGCCAGTGACGACCCTGAAAGCTTCTGCAATCTCTTATTAAAAAGGAAACAGATATAGACCACAATGGGATAATAGTTGTATTCTCCTCAAAAAAAAACCCCTTAGTCAACAACTTGACTTCTTCCATTTCCAAAAGCATTCACATAGGCTTCTGAAACTTAAGCCAAAGAATACCCATAACTTCCATCACGAGGAGCAAAACATTTAGAATAAAAGGTCTTAAGAAGAGAAAATAAGTTTTACTGCTGCAAATGACAGAAGTATTTGCAATTACTATCTGGCACACCATATAAATATAAAAAATGTTACATTGCAAGGGAATAAAGAATGTTTATTGAACAATTCCTTTTCATTAAGATTATACTCCAGAGACTGAGAGAATTTGGCTAGTACCTGGGAGGGCTGATAGACTGTAGGTTTACAAAAAGAAAGCTAAACATAGGACTTATCTAGGCAAAGGCTTCCAGGAATGTATTTCCTACAAAAGTCGCTCTCTGTGTTTCAGCTTGTGCATA